AGATTGGAGATGCAGATCCCGGGAACAAAGACAAATCTTAAGAGATTCTTTATAATCAATTAAAATGGCAAACATAATTCATTCAATGATATCAGAAAAAAATTAAATGAAATTAAGTTGTTTTTTTTTTAAATAAAGGTTTTAGAAGTAGACAAAGGTACCTAAAATCAAATACTAAGTTACAGCTTACCTGCTGGTGAGAGCAACTAGAAAATCTTACAAATTCCAAAAATAAGTAAGTGATGCTAAGAGCAACCCAAATTTATTTGTACAGTCTTTGAAAGATTTCCAATTCTAGGCCCAGGTCATGATGCAGTGTCTAAGCAGGGCTGACAAATCACATGGCCCTCCTGTGGGTATCATGGAGTGCTCCTCAGAGCACAGAACTCAAGGATTACAACACATGTCAACACTACTAGATGTTTAAAGTTATCGATGGAAAAAAGAACTTCCGTAAGGTTTAGTAGTGTTCCTTATTGGTGTTTCTCACATCTGTCATCTTTTGTAAGGCAATTTCTTAGGTATGATTTAAAAGTACCCAATCATTTTTACAAAAATGTTTTCAGTAGAAAAATAGCATAGATTAGTAACTCAGCTGTGTTCAGTTTTCCAATTTTTCAAAATCATGGATAAGGGTTTAACTAGAAACATGAAAGCATTGACAGATTAAAGACCTAAATGTGAAAGGCAGAATTCAAAAAATGCCTCAAGAAAACCCCCCTTATAGCTTATAGGGTAAGAAAATACTGATAAACTGTGCTATATTAAAATCGATAAACTTTGCTCAAAAATATCACAAAGAAAATTAAAGACAAGCTACAGCAAAGGAAAAGATACTTGTAAAAACATACAATCAGGGCCTCCCTGGTGGCACAGCAGGTTAAAAGCACAGCACTAAGAGGCTGAAGGCACTTCAGTATGGGTTCGATACCTGCCCTGGAGCTGACCCACATGGTGCAGCAGACCTCCCCTGAGCCGCCCACTGCTCCCCTCAGCAATGTACTTTGTTGATCTGCCTGTTCTGCTCCCCACTCTCTCTCTGGTGAGTCCTCTCATCGCCCCTGCACCTCTGGCCTGTAACGCAGTTCTGTATGCATAAATAAATAAATCTTTAAAAAAAATTACAATCAGATAATTGTTATCCACAACATATAAATAATTTCTTATTAATGAGGGAAAGGTAAGAAATTCAATCTAAAAAATGAGCAATAGACTTGAATGGCCCTTGGAAAAAGATATTCTAGAGGTACAAGGAAAAGTGCTCAGTCTCACTGGTCATCATCAAAATGTAAATAAAAACAAGAAGATAACTGCACAATCATCAGGTTGGCAAAGTTAGCCCACTGAACTATCCAAGAAATGTTGTTGTTTGGAGGTTGCCAGACCCTACTGAAAGGGGTGGAAATGAGCACCTTCAATTTTGAAAAACAATATCACATGATGCCTCAGTCAAGTGTGGTATCTATCCTCTGGAAATTATGTACAGTTATGCACCAGGATTTCTACGTTAGAAAGATTACAATAGCATTGTTTGTATTAGCCAAAAGCTGCAAACAATTTCAAGTGTGTTCAACAGTCCAGTGGATAAACAGGGAAAAAAATCCCAGGGTGACATGCAGCCCTGAAAATGAATGACTACAGCCACACAACACGGAAGACTTTTACAAACAATCTGGACAGCAAGACTTCACAGAATAACTCTACTTCTATAAAATTCAGAAACAGACACATCTGAGTTAAATTTCTCAGGATGGTGTCTGTGTATGGTTAAACTATAAAGAAAAACAAAGAAATGATGATGGTGAAAGCCAGGGCAGAAGTCACCTCTACAGAAAGCAGGGAAGGTGCCTTTGGGGTGCTGGCAAATCATTTCTGACTTTCACAGGGCTTCGGCAGTGGTACAAAAAGTCTCACATACCTTATGTTAAAAGATAGGAAACAAGCTTATCAGCTATGAAAGAAAATATATTCTATCTTCCCATTGTAAGAAATATCTTTATAATTACTTGGAGGCCAGATTCATGCTGAGGATTTCTGGTAGTTCAGGGGGAAGTGGGCCCATCACCACTGTCCCCATCCCACCCTGCAAGGGTCCTCACACACAAACACACGGTCACCTCCCAACACAAGCCCAACCTCCAGTATCCCCAGCACACAATCAGCAACCCTTTGGCAACCTCGGTCTGATATACACCAGAAGCCTAGTCCACTCTCAGATAGACAAAACCCAGATGGAGACTCACACAGGCTCTCGGGTCCGTTTGGGCAAGAAAGCCTGAGATCCTGGGGACTCAAAGTATCATCTAGGACAGAAGGTTTAGACTCCAAGAGGGCATGTTCCAAAGGCCCTCCAGACTCCTCACCCAGGGTAAGTGGGAGCACTGTGGCGGATGGGCCAAAGCAGAGCCCTCGGAAGCACAGAGCCAGGGCAGGGGCCCCTCTTTCCCAGAACCACACAACATTATAGTCCTTAACCTGGACACAACAGAATGGGAAATCACTTCATAATTACTTGTTAAGCTATATATGTAGGTGTTGTGTACTTTCTCCTACAAATAGTTGGGGAAGACATCCTGTGGCTGCGGTAAGATAAAAGAGGGCACAATTATCACCTGGGAGATTCTCTGGCCTAATAACTACAATCTGTTATTTATTCATGAGGCAATCAGATACAATCCAGGAACTTTCTACAAAACACCGAACCTAAATTCTTCAAAAACATGCCACTAAAGGTTAAGAAAAAAAAGTTGTGAAACTACTCCTGACTGAAGAAGCAAAAAGATGTGAAAACAGAGTGGACCACAATATCCTAGGCTAGATAGGGTCTTTACCAGGGGTAAGTGCTAGAAAGGACCATTCTGGGACAAATGATTAGATTTAAATATGGAAAAATGACAGATCAATGTTAAATTTTCTTAGTTTGATAACAGTGCCAGCTATGTAAGAAAATGTCCTTCATTTTTAATATATATATATATACCAAAACCAAGTAGGATTTATTCCCAGAATGTAAGAATGGTTCAACATACAAAGCTAAAGTAACCTATCACACAAAGGGGGAAAAATGTATGTTCTCAATTGATGCAGAAAATACTTTTGACAAAATCCAACATATTCCATAAACTAGGAATAAGAGAATATAGTAAATCTTCTATGAATATAGGTCCTTAATCTGGAGTGATAGATTCTGAAGTAGTTAAGGGTGAAATATCAAAATGTTTGCAACTTATCCTCAAAAAGTTCTACAAAAGTATATAAATAGCTATCTAGAGTATGTGCCAAAATAGTAACAACTGAGGATTCTAAGGAAAAGTAGTACATGATTATTCTTGTAACTTATCTTGCAAAAGTATTTTCAAAATAAAAAACCTTCAACAAACTGAAGAGTTAAACAAGATCCAGTTCCTCTCTCTACCTGAAAACTAAAAGAGGAGCTCGATGGCTAAGATAAGGTGGATAAAGACTTCTCCGTTTGTTCATTCTTTCATTTGTACTTTCCATATTTTCTTTATATGCACCCCCAAAAAATTTAACTCTCTGGAAGGGGGGTTGTATTCTAGAGCATTAAAAGGGGGAGGGTTAGCAACCTTAAATATAAGAATTTTTCCTTAAATTTATTTGTTAAATCACAGTCATCATTAAACGGTTATTCTGTGAGGTCAGCCCACAAAGCTGCTGCTCGTGAAGATACCTTGTAGAGAGATCTCCTCACCCAACCCAAAGGCTGGCATGAAGAGAGGCATCACTTAACATGGATATTAGCGTTCTACTTCTAAAATGACTACATATGTGCAGCATGTTTCACAGCCTCTTTAGGTAATCCAGAAACTGAAGCTCACAGCAAGCTCGTTTTTGCTATTAAGAGAGATTCACTCATATTAACAAATGTTAACAAACATGTTAATAAAAATTAACAAAAGACATTATCCAAAGCCCTCCAGATGCAAAGAGAGATGATACGGTCACTGTCCTCAAGAAGAAAGTTTAACAGAATGAGCAGTCTTGAACAAAAATCTTGACTATCCCACCACATAACTATATAATCTTGGTAAATTATTAGGCCTAAGATTCTATTTTCTTATAGGTATAAAGCAGATGCCACCAGCTGTCTTTAAGGACTGTACTACAGGAGACCAACTACATATGCCAGGCATTTAGGGCAAGAGAACAACAGGTACTCAATAAAAGGGAGCTTTTTTATGAGTATCACAGTGTAATTAAAATAATGAAATACAGAGAAAATATACCCAAGGTTGTATAGTTAATTAAGGGCATACCTATCACTGAAATCCTAATTATTCCCAGATTCTAATCCAAGAAAATTTACTCTCCCTAAACATCAAATAATATATGCAACTGTTTGTGTGTGTGTGGAACAAGAGTTGCTCCCTAACATACCTCTGGCAAATAAATCACTCTTAGGCACAAAGGAAAGGAATACTAAGTTATAAGGTTATCTTTTCTCATTAACCAAGAAGGATTTTAGTTCAAACAGTGTCTTACTCGGCTGCACAAGGCCCTGCTGTCCAGGGACACAGATCCAAATCACTCTAAGCATTAAAACCAGAGGAGGGGCTTCCTTCAAATAATTTCCAACCTTCCTTTACTAGCAGACATAAAATTTACTCCATTTCAAGCACTTCCTTCCAGCTTAGTGCATGAGATTTCCATGCACAAAGCCTTCCTCTTTAGCAAGGGACAGTATTTTATACAAAGTTGTTGATTTCCCAGCCATGCATCTATGAAAGTTATAAACCAATCCCCAGTGATGACAAAAACTAAAGCCCTATTTCAAGCCTACAGAGGTAGTGATGTGATTTAAATTGCTCAATTTACTCATTCTCCTTTCCCTAGATTGACAGGGGCACAGAGAAAAGGGAAAGACACTGAACCACAACTGAAAGATAAGTAATAGTCCTGAAGAATCATTCATCATCCCATGTATACTAGTCATATCACACAAAAACATCCACGCCCTTTCGTGATCTAGCATGTGTTACCTGAGAGAATAGCGCCTGTCCTGGGGTAGGCCACTTCAACGTACACTTCAAATGTGGTCTCTGGGTTTTGCCTACAAAAAAACAAAGATTGTGGTTATTGGCGAGGGCTGAGTCAGCATGGGCAGAATGTGCAGGCTGTGGTGTAAGGCAATTAAACACAATATCACTGGCCCTTAGCCTAATGGTGGTGGCCTAGGGACAAGTTACTCACTTCCCTGAGCCACACCTTCCTCGTCTATGGAGTGAAAACACCTAACCAGAAGCATCACTGTGAAATGTAAAAGTCAACACACAAAAGCTACTCAGGCCCAATGTAGCCATTATTTGATTTTACAGACACCATACTTCCACTGTACGTGGTTGAATCGCCAAAATCAGAGAGAGAATTTTGGGAAAACTCAAACCAAGGCAACACTAGCACAAAGGAGCATTTTCTCTCATCTCCAAGATAAAACATTCATAGGATAGGATGAAGTTAACTTGCTTATGGGTAGGCTGAAAACAGGGTCGGATCTCACCAGGCTACTGTAAGACAGGCTGCTAATCCGAATGTGAGCCTGTTTCCACAGAGGGGGCTTTGTCTGCAGTAGCAATGGCAAGTATATCCACATTCATTATTGTATTCCTCTACCTTTCTATGGTCATCAATATTTCATAAGTTTTAAAAAGATCACAGCATGAACAGAAATTTAACAGCTATTAATGCTGAGTGATAAGAAATCAGGGATATATTATTTTGGTATTTTCTCTTTGATTTTACAACCATAGTTAAAAGATATCTCTGGATCAAATGAAAATCATTTAGCAGGAAAAAATATACCCTCAAATATCTGTAACTGAATTCTATTTTAAACCTGACAACAAAAAAATCAGGGGAAAAACTTTGAGTTGCCAATCAGAACTAAGGGTAAATTTCAAGAAAATAAGTAACTTGAATTGGCTCAGAGGATTCTACTTTTCAAAACAGCTATCTCATTTATCTCACTTCATTGTTATTATAATCCTATAAGGTAAGTAAATCAGACATTCCCCTCAGCACCCTGGGTGGCATGAGCCTGATACTGAGATTCTAGAGATTCTAAGCATCTATTCTGTGGTCCTACAGCTAGTTAGAAACAAGGCCAGAACCAGAATTCACACCTCCTGCACTCAATTTTGTGTTTCATTGATTCTAAGATGGACTTCCCCTCCCCAACACCTATTCACATCTCTTACAATCTATAGCATCTTTCCCTTTTAAATAGTAGAAATTTTTTCTTTTTTAGTAATTCATAAAATAATATGGTATCTGCTAAGTAATGGCACCTTAGATTTAAAAAAAAAAAAAAGAGTAATACTTCTACTGCTTCCTTAAAAGTAGAAAGAACAATGGGTGTTTTGTTAATCAGATCTTGTAAAGGGTCTTCTGTAAAAAGGCATTTCTTCACTGAAGAGATATGCTTTGCTTTACATAGTACCTACATGTTGGCTGCTCTAAAATATAAGGTACTTAAGTAAATCTGGCCACAAAGAATTTGAAAACCAGGCACTAAATCAGAGTCTCTGACTTAAAAATTGAAATAAAACAAAGTAAACCGAGAGTCTAAGAGTGTAAGTTTTTTTTCCTGCAATAGGTCAGTATCCTTTGGCCAACAAATTGTGCATAATACCAGATGAAAACATCCCTTTCATTCAAATATTCTCAAAGTAGAGAGTCTGATGAAAGAGAGGAATTTTCTAAGGTTATCTGAAGAGCACCAGAAAGAGTCCCTCGAAGGCCTGAAATTATCTTTCTTAATCTTGTTTTGCAACTGGCTTAATTTCAACTCAGAATTTCATTCCCCTGGGCTGAAATAACAATGGCATTTAAAATGTGTTCTGTGGGACCCTGGGTCTCCATGGCAGTACTTGTGTGCTTCCACACATCTTGTGCCCAAATTTCTACTTTCAAATGTTCACCCATTAAAAAAAACAGGGCCCTCCCTGGTGGCGCAATGGGTTAGAACGCGGCACTGCCAGCTGGCGGTAGCCACTTCAGTGTGAGTTCAATCCCCTGCCCCGGAGGTGCTCCACATGGCACAGCAGACCTCTCCTGACCCGCCTGCTGCTCCCCCTCAGCAGTGTACTTCATCGATCTACCTGTTCTGCTCCCCACTCTGTCTCTGGTGAAGACTCACCACTGCCCCAGCACCTCTGACTTGTACCCCAGTTCTGTATGAACAAATAAGTAAATCTTTAAAAAAAAAAAACTGAATTAATAAAATATGGAGCAAATGTGCTCCACACCAAAGTTTTAAACACACTGAGCTGTGCTGCTGTTATTTGGATAGCCCTGTCATCTCCACATGAAGAATGTCCTAACGTGGTCACTGTCTCTGCTTCTGTTCTCCCTTTCACTAACACACACTTGAACCAGGTGTCTGCACACCCTGCTCCCGCCTCCATGCACACCCCTACAGAAACAATCTGCTACAATTACCAGTGCCCTCCACCTTGTTAAACTGTGCTAAAAGGTCAATTCTCAGTGCTAGTCTTTCTTCTCAGCAGCATTTGACACAAGTTGAGCCATTTGCCCTCCTTGAAACGCATCTTTGCCTGGCATTCCCAGACGTCATTCTCTACGGTTGCTCTCGCCCCACCTTCTAGCTGCTCCTTTGCTAGCTCCTCCTGCTTGCAGGCTCTCCCACTCTTCCACTTAGTCCTGGGCCTCTCCCCTCCCCACTCATGATTCAGCTGATCTCATTCAGTCTCATGGCTTGAATCACCATGCAAATCCTGACAAGCCCCAACTCAGGTTCAACCTAATTTCTTCCGACTCTAGATTCCCTTATCCAACTCAACAGTGCCTCTTAGATATCAAAGAAGCACTTCTAATTTAAAGGTGCTTTTCTTCCTCAAATCTGCATTTTCTGAGACTAATTAGCTAATCAGACCAAGACATGGCACCACCCTTGGCTCTTCTTTGCTTTATCTGCCACAATCACTTACATGCACCAGTCAGCCAACCAGTAAATTCTGTTGATGTAAACATCAAAATATACCCAGAATCTCATGCTTCTCAGTACCCCCAACCCTACCATTCTTGACAGATCACTATCATCTCCCCTGAATGATTCCTTAGTCTCGTGATTAGTCTCGTTGCTTCCTCCTCGGCCCTGCCAGTCAGATTTCAAGTCAGTAGTCCATAATCCGTTCTTCCTAAAGCCTGGGTGATACTTGGACTTTGTGATAGTGATGGCTGCACATCAATACAAATATATTTAATGCCACTGAACTGTACACTTGCAACTTTTAGGTTATTTGTATTTTACCACAATTAAAAAACAACTGGGGGAGGGGGAAGTCCTTATAAAATCTTATGTGTCCTGGCTTCAGCCTAACTCTCTGATTCCCTACACTCCCCTTCCCCATGTGCTCCACCAATCTCGCTTGTCATTCCTACCTTATAGCCCTCTGTATTGATCTGCTAGAGGTGTCCTTTCCTGTCATTCAAATTCAGCTTATACTTGGCCTCTCAGTTAGATCTCCCCTGGCACGCTCTATCATCAAGTTTTTATCCTCCACATCATACCTATCACAATCCTGTTTATTACAGTCTCCCTCTGCTAAATGGAAACCACAGGAGATCAAAGATTTACCCCACCACCACTAGACCCACTAGTGTTTCCCAGAGATCTAAACAGTGTCTCGCACACAGGGTAAAAGGAATTAAGGAACAGGTGCCCAGATAACACTGATGCTGTTGGACTGGTATGTGACCACACTTAAAGATCATTGATTTAGTTCAATAGAATTATTCTTCCAAATAATTTTGCACAAACATAAACATACCTCAAGAATCCACCCAGTAGTTTTGCAATGAAATATTTCAAAGAATAAAGGCATTTGCAATGAAGCTTATCTTCTCCTACTGCTATCCATAGTTTCTGCCTCATTCTAACGATTAATAATAAAGTTACCTAAGTTTCTAACTCAGTTCAAATAGCTGCCAGATTTCTATTACATGAAGCCAAAGATTGACAGTCCCTTTTAAAGAAAAAGAAAAAGAAAGCAAAAAGCTGACTAGAAACTGAGAACAAATTGGACTATAATTATGAGTTATAATCATGCTCATCCATGATCTTTTACATGTTGCCTTATGGAAGAAGTGGTGACTAATGTTGTGACAAGTTATATAACACACCAACAAATATACATAAGTTATTTTAAGGGCCGGTGGAGCCAATGCAGATGGAAGCATTTTCTATTTCTCTGCAAATCAAAATATAAACTTAGAAATGTCTTCTCTAGATGCAAATGGTCAAACTCTTAATATTTTTCTTAAGCCTGTAAACAATCAAGACTAACAATTTCCAGAAAAAATCTCTGGGACTACCTTGAGATTACTTATTGCCTCCATTACTCTTCAAGATGCTCAATATTTTTAACCACTTGGCTAAAGGAAATGAAAAATCCTATTTCTGTCTTATTAACACTCACTGCTAATTCAGTACACGTAATAATGCTGAGAATACCATATTCAGAGCCAATTTTCCAATATGGACCCAAGTTTTTCCAGAATACTTCATGATATATCTTAACATATTACCATGGAAATGTCCTGGTTCTGCCATGAGATCCCATTCTTAATTGCTTTACACTCTTAAACCTCATAACTTGGAGCCCTGCCACCTACCATCTTTTTGCCACCCACCCTCACTCTCCTGCAGTCTTGCACCCTAAGATCCAATCACACACAACTACTGGCAGCTCCGTGCACATGCCAATTCTCTAATAGCAGCATCGTCCCCAGACTTCTACCACTGCTCACTGTCTCCTAGGTGCCAGGCACACTGGAAGTTCTTCACATACATCAGTTCAGTTACTCTTCAACAAGCCTAAGAGATAAATAGTCTCAAGCTCCAGTTGACAGAGAGGGACACTGACACTCAGAGAATAAACTGGTCAAAGTCAAAATGAGGAAGCAGCAGGAGCAGCATGGATGCCTGGACATTAACCATTCTAGTATCGACATTACTAAGGGGTCCTTCTGCAAGGACAGTGTCTCCAGTCCTTTGGAGCTGACAAATTCATTCAGCAAACCCTAGCTCAGGTCTTTCCTCCTCTCTAGGAAGTATCCCAACTTTCTGCACTCATAGCCCTGCCTGGGTTAAGTAGCCACTTCTATGCTCCCAAGGCACCCCATTTCTGTGACTCTTAATACATTCCATCCCAATGCAATTACAATTACCTTTAAAAGTCCTGATGTCAAGGCCATACCACCAAAACAATTACATCAGAATCTCCAGTGATCAGTATTTTTTAAAGTTCCTGAAACTATTCCAATGCACAATCAAGATGGAAAACCACCAATGCCTCTCTGATGAAAAAGCTGTCAGACTCACCCAATTGGGATGAAAGAGCTGTCAGACCCACCTGACTGGCAGCTCCTTAAGGGCCTACTTGTCTTCTTATAACCCAAGTTGGACACCTGGCATGGTCACTGTTTGATAATGAGTTTTTCTCCAACCTGAGACTAAGCCAAGGGAGCGTTTCTGTTCAACAAGCTCTTCTGAACACAATTCACAGTGATTCAGGGGAAGGGCCACACTCTGTGCTCAGGCCAATGTTCTCAAAATGATTAAGTACACTCAGCTTGAAGTCAGGAGACACACAAAGGCTTTGACAATATTCAGGCAGTGAGCAAGCTTAATTTTTTTTTAAGAGCATCATGCTATTGATCACGCAGCTGGATCATCAACTTTCAATTAGGGTCTCCTTTTCTTCAATTACAACATATTATAAGATTAGGCGAAACATGTAACACTAATTCCCCATAAAATGAACCTTTGGTGCACACGGTAACCATGCCAAAAGCTATGCCCTTGCCCTTCAAGAGTTATTTACGACTATCAACCTGAAAGGAAGTGTTGGGGCCCTTGTCTCATTTCATACCCATCAACCTTTCAAAACAGCTAGTAGTGGTCAAGTGAAATAGCAGCTGATTCACTACAGACTGATGAATTCACTGCAGCCCAGTTTTAGCCACAAACTTGGATAATGAAGAGGTCTGGAGTATATTTCAAAATTCAGGCCAACTATCTTAAATTTGACAACATCATCAAAAGGAACTATATACCTTTTAGAACATGTTAGCAAACGCAAGCTAAGAAGTACAGATTTCTTTAAACTGGACCAACAAGCAAAAAGGAAATTTTAGTTACTTCTAGCAAGCTTACTTTTCTTACAGACTCTTACTTTTCAGCAGACTCGAGGCCATTTTTTTCAGACTGCAAATGCTGTGTCAGAGGGCTTTCTAGGCCCTAACAAGTTCACACTTCCAGAGAAGAATGCAGTCACTGCTGAGACTTGTTAGAAAATGATTGACTTAGCTGTATCATTATTCAAGTCATTTCAAAATTTTACACTTGGCTTTTAGTTTCCAAAGCTCTAAGGATCAGATTCATAAGGACAGAGAGAGCCGCAGTGCAGAACCCAGCCACTCCACCATTCACAACACTGGCAAAAATCATATATAGTTCATCACTGATATTTTCTCCTTAAAAATATTTCAAAGCCAGACCCTCCCTGGTGGCACAGCAAGTTAAAGCACAGCACTAAGAAGCTAAAGCCTTCAGCATGAGTTCGATCCCCACCCCGGAGGTGACCCATATGGAATGGCAGACCTCTCCTGACCCCCCGCTGCTTCCCTCAGCAGTGTGCTTCGTCGATCTGCCTGTTCTGCTCACCACTCTGTCTCTGGTGAACTCTCTCACTGCCCCTGTGCCTCTGGCCTATACCCCAGTTCTGTATGCATAAATAAATAAATCTTTTTAAAAAATATATTTCAGGGCCCTTCCTGGTGGTGCAGCAGGTTGAAGTGCAACACTAAGAAGCTAAAGACACTTACTTCAGCATGAATTCGATCTCCGCCTGCCCCAGGAGGTGACCCATATGGTGTGGCAGACCGCTCCTGACCCACCCACTGCTCCCCTCAGCAGTGTACTTTGTCAGTCAGCCTGTTCTGCTCCCTTACTCTGTCTCTGGTGAATCTTCTCACTACCCCTGCACCTCTGGCCTATACCCCAGTTCTGTATACATAAATAAATAAATCTTACCAAAAAAATTATTTCAAAACCTTCCCTTTCTTAACTTTCCTCTGCTTTTTCTGAGCAACTTTAGTCCTAAAACTATGATGTGGGCAGAGCAAGGTAGGTGTCCATGCTGGCAAAGGCCCAGAATGGGGTGACAGAACCTGAGCAGAGTGAGAAAAACAGGCCCACAAAGGGGTGACCTGATGGGGATGTCAGATCATGAGTAGGGTAGAGGGATGTCCATGCTGAGGGGTGTCCTGGCAATACAATGGATGTCTAATCCAAGTGGATGAGGAAGGCATCCGAGCAGGGAACAGCCCAGCATGGGGAGTCAGATGCTCAGTGGGGTGAAAAGGGCCTGCATGGCCCAGGGCAGTCAGGTCTAGGATGCTGAAACACAAGCAGCAAAGGAGGGTGCCCCCTGGAGGAACAGCACTTCCTGGGTATCAGAGCCCAAGAGAGTGAGAAGCATGACCAGGAATAAGGGCACCCTGCAGTGGGGAGTGGACATATGAGCAGGTGTGCAGGGTTGGCCATGTGGAGTGAGAGGCAGCTTACCCACTGTGATGCACAGTCAGAATTCTCACAGGCCATCCACAGGGCAATTGGCAGCACCCAAAGGCAGCATGCATAACCAGCAACCAGACCTGGGTTCTGTCAAGACACCTACATAGGCACTGGAGTCCAGGGAAAGCAAGGCAAAATCTAAACCAGGCCTAATCTGAGACCAAGACCATTAAGAAAGGCCTGGTTCCTCACGGATGAAATTAGCTAGAAGACAGAATGAATTCAATGGAGTTGAATTCCAATTGGAAACAGGAGTGTGAATTCCAGGTTTTCAATTTAACTATATAGAGAAACAAATCATCAGTGTAACCTGACATCATGTACACATATTCCTAGGATCTTCCCACTGAGAGCACCTGGCAATGGCAGCACCCAAAGGCAGCACACATACCCAGCAACCAGACCTGGGCTTCTAATTAAATTCTCTTCTAAAAGGAACCAGGGCTTCTTGGAGAAGTTGGCTCCCCGGAAGGTAAGCCTGGAACATCGTACTGTATCAGAAAGCACAGAAGTGCCCCAAGAATGGTAGGGTCATGTCAAGAGGACACAGGAGACATGCTGCAAGGCCCCCCCCAGAGCAAATTTGCTGTAATCTGAGCATTAAAGTCATCAAATATAACAGGAAACCGTAAGTCCACATTAATACAAATGAAGTGAGCAAATCAAATTTTTAATGAGATGTAGAGCATTTATATAGCTTTAAGGTTCCTTATCATAAAACACTATTTGCAAAGGGGAGAAAAGAAATTTATCAGTGCAGTTTGATAAAAATCCCTACCACCAAGTCATCAGGCTATCATCTTGGTCATGGATCAAGCTGCCACATTGCAAGGTAAGGCAATCACAACACTTGCTGACATCCCTGAACCTCTTCTGGAGACCCCCAGCACACTCAAATGGCAGCACCTTCTAAAAATATCTGACCTGTCATCCAAAGTGTCAAGGTCATGAAAATCAAGGAAAGACTGACGATCTCTTCCAGGTTGAAGACGCTAAAGACTCGCAACAATGAAATGTGATATGATTGTGAACTGGTTCTCTTTGCTATAATGGATATTACTGGGACAAAAACTGAAACCTGAGGTGTGGAGGCCCTGGTTGCCAGAAAAAGCAATAACATTTTCAGGGACAATGGGGCTTCAGGTCAGCCCTCGATTTTAAATTGTTTTTTTTTTTTCCTTTTTAGTTCTTTATATGATACCACAAACTTTACTGTAAGGTTCTGGTTGTTTTAAAAAAAATTTGCTTGATACAAAACGAAACCACCAACCATTAATACTAATTTCCTGCTCTGTTGCTTACCCAGACCTTCTCACAGGAATGGTGTGGCTCCCTGGGAAGAACCCCAGACTACATATCAGAAGAATATCTTGGTTGCTTCTAACTCTTGGCAACTGTATGGTTTATAAGAAACCAACAACGATCTTCCGAAGTGGCCATACCATTTGGCATTCCACTAGAATGAGTGAGAGTTCCTGCTGTTCCACATTCTCACCAAAATGTGATGTTCTGGATTTTGGACATCCTACTAAATGCATGGTGGTATCTCTCTGATGTTTTAATTTGTATCTCTCTGATGACACATAATATGGAGCATCTTTCCATATGTTTGTCCTGTGTATATCTTCTTAATCAACCTAAAGCAATTATATAGTTAAGTGAAAAGAAAGTATGAAAAAAGTAAAAGACACAGAAGAGATAGAAAACATAATATGACAAGTTATTACTCTAGAAGAAAGTGGGACACCATAAATAGCTGGTTTTAGAAAGCTGACTTTAATGTTCTATTTACTTTTGGGGTTCCCATCTTCACTTAGTTCCTGGCCTGAAAATAGCATTTAAACCTTGGTGATTTCTCAACAGAGACTGCAGTATCACCAGAGAGTTCATATCCTTAACAACTTCATTTACATTGTACAGGCTCTTAAGAATCTCACATCACCTAGAAAGCTTCTCAAAAGTCAGCATTCCAGACTCCACAACTGAAGACTGATTTACTATTCCCCACTGAATGAATATAACATGCACACACAGTATTTTTCAAGATACTGGGGGTCAGGCAATAAAGCAGAGATCCCATGAGACAGAAAACAAACAGGAATCCAAGCAAGGCCCAGCAGACACCTTGAGAGTTGAGAAGACAGAGCTGAGAGTTCAGGGAGACCATGGCAGTTAAGAGTTTCAGCAGAGAGGGCCCTCCCTGGTGGCGCAGCGGGTTAAAGCACAGCACTAAGAAGCTTGAGCCACTTCCGCATGAGTTCGATCCCTGCCTGCCCCGGAGGTGATCCACATGGCATGGCAGACCTCTCCTGACCCGCCCGCTGCTCCCCTCAGCAGTGTACTTCGTCGATCTGCCTGTTCTGCTCCCCACTCTGTCTCTGGTGAAGCCTCTCACCCTCCGCATCTCTGGCCTGTACCCCAGTTCTGTATGAATAAATAAATCTTTAAAAAAAAAAAAGAGTTTCAGCAGAGTACTTATTGAAGAGAGAGCTACAGAGAGAAAATGCTGGAAATCTGAAAAGACATTCCTCAAGTACATAGCTTACGTACTGATTAGCCCAAGTATGTGTATGAGGATTTTAGATGGAAAAAGAACTACCAGGAAAGGAAAAGTTAAAGGTAGCAGGGCCTGGTACTCACGAAGGGCCAGATTTATTACCTTAACAATGGGGCATTCTTTAACCCTAGATTGAGCAACGCTTCCCTTCCACCTAACAAATCTTAAAGGAAGACCCAAGAGAATCAAAGTCTTTCTCAGTAACTTATCCAACAAAATATATAAAAGAAGAGTTTAAGACACCCATATCCCTGAATAGGGAAGAAGAAAAAGTGGCTGAGTCTACAACTTGCCTTAAGTATTCCAAGAACATTTATAATAATACAAAATAATAATAAATACAAAATAATCCAGCACTCAGCAAGGTAAAATATACGTCAGTCATCAAAACTTACCAGTCATGAAAAAACAGGAAATACAAACCATAATGAGAAGGAAAAAATCAATTAAAGATAACCAGAAACTGACATAGGTGTTAGCATTAGCAGGCAGACATTCACACAATTATAACTATATTCCATCTGTTCAAAAAGTAAAAGACAGGAGATTCAAAAAAGCCTGCTGAATTTCTAGAGATAAAAATTATAATGCATGAGATGAAAAATGCACTAACTGGGATTAACTGCAGAGTAAACATGGCAGAAGCAAAGATTAGTGAACAAGAAGATGGTTGTTTTAGAAACTACCCAAAATAAAATACGGAAGAAAAAGCCTCAAAACCAAAACAGCATTGTTGACCTGAGGGACAACTTGGTGCAGCTAATATGTCAGTAAAAAAGGGGGAATGGAACAGAAAATTTTTTAAAGGAAATAATGGTGAAAACTTTCTAAATTTTGTGAGGACTACCAATATGCATATATCCATAAAGCTCAAGAAACATGGAGAGACCTAAGGCACATCACAATCAAATTGTTCAAAATCAGTAATAAAGAGAAAACCCTAAAAGGAAAACAAAAAAACATTCATATAAACAAAGATTACAATGATAGTGGATTTCTGGTCAAAAGGCAAATGAGAAACCAGTAAAGCAGTATTATCCAAGTACTGAAAGAAAAAACTGACAACCTAGAGTTCTATTCCCAGAGGGCATTTCAAAAATGAAGGCAAAGACCTTTCAGACATGACAAATGCTGAAAGAAATCATCACCAGCAGGCCTGCACTACCAGAAAAGTTAAAAGCAGTTCTTTAGCCTGAAAGAAATAGTGCCAGATGGAAATATGGACCTATCCCAAGAAATGAAGCGCATCAGAAATGGCAACTACATGGATTAAATATGAAAAGATCATCTCAATAAATGCAGAAGATTTCTTGGAGAATTCCACTAAACGTTTCAAGAAGAATTAATAACAATTCCCTATAATGACTTCCAGAAAACACAAAGGGAAAGGATATTCTCAACTCATTTTACAAAGCCAATATTACACTCACACCAAAACTGAAACCAGAGCATCAAAATTAAGAAATCCTACACACATAATTGACAATATCATTTCCCAAATATCCTTTACAAAATATTAGCAGATAGAACTCAACAACGTACAACGTAATGTAGTCTATTCCATATTAATAGGCTAAAGGAAAAATAGTTATATCAACTGATGTAAAAGCATTTTATAAAATTCAACCTTATTCATGATAAAACCTGAAAACTAGGAATGAAAAGAATCTTCCTCAATCTGATAAAGAGACAGTTACGAAAAACATAGTTAACATTAGCCTTAATGGTAAAAGACTGACTACTCTCCCTCTAGGATTAGGAACAAGACAAAGATACCCATCCTTACACCATTTCTTTATCACTCTAGAGATCTTAGAGCAAGAAACAAATAAAATGCATATGGAGTGGAAAAGAAGAAATAAAAATGTTTCTATTTGTAGACATGATTTGCAGACACCTACGTAAGAGAATTTACAGTTGAAATTGAGACGATTTTCCTTCTTTTCCTTTTATGTATAATTTTTCCATTCCCATCTAATCTTTCTCAGAATTTCTCCATGCACGCCTTTCCATAACGGAATCCAAAACCTATGCTTTAGATTTAAGGTATCTTTAGGAAAAATAAAGACAAAATATAGACTCCTGAGTACATTCAAGAATAAACATCTATTTGCTGGCACAACATGCAAGGTTTTTTTGCAATTCAGCCTCAGTTAGACCCTTTGGTCTCTTCTGCTAGTACCTTCTACGATTACACACACATACACATACACACACAACCTACATTACAGTCACATGAAGTTTTTCATCAAAACTCAGTCCCTATGCTTTGTATGCACATTTACTAGTTATTGAGCTATTTCAGAAGGCTGGGCACTGTGTACCACACTTCATTTAATTGATGTGACAATACTATGAGGTAGGCAGTGTTGTGGCCTTTACAAAACAGTCTTGTAGAAATTAATAGCTTGCCCAACGACAAACATCTAGTAAATGGCAGTGTATGCACTCAAATCCAGGTCTGTTTCTACTTCAAAGGGTATGTTCTTGAGCTCCAAAATGTACGCTATCTACAAACAGTTTGATTCATTCAAGATGCATCTACAACAATGCTTGGCAAGTAGGAGGCACTTAAGAGATATTTGTGGAATGAATGAAAAAAATGCTGCCTCCTCTCTAGAGGCTTCTCTGACTCCCCTACAAAACATATTTGCTATCCTGCATTGTCACAAGACCTGTTTCAAAATTCTTAATATGAAGCTCCCCAGGGTGATATTCTATGTTTCCTTCCTGTATATACATATTACCTGGACTAAATACTTTGTTTCACTCTGTGTTCTCAAACCCTTACCAGAAGGCCTGGCTTTTAATAAGCATTCAGAAAGTTTGTTAATTGACTTTCCCTGAGGAGGAGAAGAGAGATGAGTAAGAGACTCATGATTCATATTAAAACTTCTTTTTTTTTCCTTGAGATATAAACATTCAGAGCTGTGATACACTCAAATGTGTGCTCTATAAATATTTCTAGGTTTCAACTATTATCTGAGGCATCTAAATTTAACTCACTCAACACATATTTATGAGTAATCTAAATACCTACTTATAATGACTCCGAAGAAGCTTGCAACTAGCCAAGAAAATAAAACAAAATGTAAAGGTAAACAGTCAAATGTGAGCTGCTATGAAGAATACACAACTAAGCACCATATCAATGGTAAAAGAAAATGCTGTTTTGCAAGTTGAAGAACTCACTCTGGGCTAAGGCCACTGGTCTGATTATCTGTGGATAATCTGCAATTAGGTTCTTGCCAATCCACAGCAAAATGAGGAGGAAGAAATTTCAGTGAATTTTTCATCTAATGATACTTAGTTCAATTTTTTAAACTATTTTTGACTTGACCATTTCCTATTGCTTTTGGATGTAAAGACCTTAATATTCTTGCAAAAATAACAGAAATGAGATGATCGTTTTTATGTGGCTCCAAAAAAACTTATAAATTGAAACAAATATTCCAAGTATTTGGGAACTACTGAGTGAGGACATTCAAGAGAAGACTCATAGGTGAAATTTGAAGTGAACAATACAGTATGACTAGGACTTGGCTAGATGGGGAAGGGAGAGATTTTAAGCAGGGGAAATCACCTCAGTGAAGTGTGAAGGTATGAATGTTCATGTAAAGTTTGTCAAATAGCAACCAAACTTGAAACTTGGAAAAATTTTAACTGCAAATGTAACTTTTGGTTAATTAAAGTTCTCCTCTGATCCTCCACTGAAAACAATTACAAATAGTGAGATTGTTCTCAAATACTGGTGAGGGTTCCAAGAAAATAAGGAAGATGACACCAAAAAATTAAGATATGAATCCAACAGGGTGAGCAAAACATAATAACTAGATTTCTCCTGGATGGAATTTACACATAGCTTACAATGTAAGCTTCATTCTCCCAACCCAAGGGAGTTAAAAAAATACAAGACAAAACTAAGATCCAGTATAATAAACACTCCTTCCTGATAAACCAGGTCTCA